GTTTCAACTTCGGTTCTATTTTATTTATATTCTTTATAATAATATTTAATCTTCTAAAGAAAAGTTCTATTCTAAGAAAATCTACCATATATCTGCTTATATTATGTTACAAACAGCAACAAATATCTTACGTACACTACATTGACTTTACAATACGTGAGTTTTCTCAAATTTAATATTATAGTTTACCATACTTTCTCCTTGAAAGAATGCAATAACAGTATATGTAGAAAAATTTTGGGAGAAACTGTTTAGCTTCTCTAATATTAAAACTTTCTGATTTACAGTATTTAGATATTTTTTTGATACCCAGCAAATCAATAAAGAAAATACATATCACGTTTCATTAAAATTTTACTCACTTCTTGAAACGAACAATCATCTACTCTTGTTCTAGTATTTCAAGAGAAAACATAATATACATTCAATGCTTAAATGAATAAAAAACTTTGTTTTGTATATTTTAATTACTTTATTTATAAAAATTCTCGTCATTTAATTAAAAACAACAAACGGAGGAAATATTAACATTATATAATAATGCAGTGTTAGTTAATAAAATTATTTTATGAATTATTGCTTATAGCTTGATTAATAAAAGGAGCAACCTTAGCAACACTTGTGTATACACCAGGATAATTAGGACGAGCGCAACCGAATCCCCATGACACAATACCAGCAAGCTCATTATTCAATACAGCTGGACCACCACCATCACCTTCACAGGCATCAGCACCTGGGGCCTTAGCACAAAACATGGTCGGGGTTAACTCATATGACTGCAAGCAATCGTTTTTTGAAATCGCGGCAACAAGCACAGATTGCAGAGCATTGGAATTTTCACCATTTTCACTTAATCGCCCCCATCCCAAGACTTTTAAATTTGCACCAACTGGAACTCCAGTTGTACGTAAATTTATAGTACCGATATTTGTACCAGTTAATTCATTTCCCAATCTCAGTACAACAACATCATAGTCCAAGGTTACGTTGTCATAGTTTGCAGGATATATGATGCGGTCGACCTTACGCCTGACACCGGGATTTGAGAACATTTGAGCACCACCTTGTACTGTCAATTGATTAGCTTTATATGGCTTAATGCAGCTAGCAGCGGAGACAACAAAACGTGGATCAACCAAAGATCCTCCACACACCAACTTTCCTCCATTGTCACGTATATTTACAACAAAAGGATTTTGAGCTATTGGTGTTGTTCCACCACCAACTATTCTGGCTTGTCCACGTACAGCTTCGAGACAAGTAAGAACCAAAAGCGCTACGTGTAAAAAATTATTATAAGACATATTCCTGACTTGCTGAATTGGCAATGTTTAAACTAAAATATTTCAATTTTAGTCTTACCTTTTATAGTTTATTTTTTCTGAGTTCGGGACTGAAAAGTTATCCAAAATTACAGAATCTAACAATTGAATAAACAAACTAATAAATAAATAAATACTAAAATCTGTAAGAAGTGGAATTTCCATTTATATCCAAAATTATTGTAATTCTGTTTTTAACTCATATTATTTACTTTTATTTAGAAAAGTAAATAAAGTAGCATTAAATTATATATTCCCAGTCCCATACTCGTGTGTCAGTATGGTATAAAAGATGTAACAATATTTACATATAATGAATAAAACAATTAAATACATAAATTTATGTGAATGAATTATACTGGGTTATCCATTTGTGTTTCCAAAAGTAAACGTAGATAAATAATATATACTTGCGATTGAGATTTCGATCAAAGTTAATATTCAATATATTATTCAAACTTAGCCGTTAGATGTGATACACAAAGACGTTCTCAATGAGATATCCTATAGCACCAGTGCCAAATTCAGGTAGGGTTTAAACTTTAATGGGATAGATCCTTAACAATATTATCCATAGATAATACGCTGCAAACACTGCCTAAAATTTAATTAATTTTAAATTTCTATAACTTATCGATACGTAGCTAGCAACTTAACGTGTGCTTGTTTACAAAGTGCAAAGAATTCGAGGATAAATAAGATCCTTTGCGTAACTGTACTAAAAACAACTTCAGTGGTGACAAACCTGGTCATGGTGGTCAGTTGATATTAAGAAATTTGTAATTGCATATTCGAGAAATTGTTAAAACAAGACGTATTGTGTGATATATGACTTATGGCAGTATGCTATTGAAACCATATTTTTATATAAAATATGTTGGAAAAGTTTTACAACGTATATATGTAGTAAAGATTTTAAATTTTTTGTTGTTGTTTTTCTCTCGATAAATTGTGCTTATACCTTAGAATTCTCTTTCTAGCAATGCTCCAACTACATTAAAGCCATCAAATTATGTCGGGATGTTCAAAAGAATTATTTGCAGAGAATTTTTCAAATGATTTTCGGTTTTTTCTATACAAGAATTGTAAGCGATTTATGTTCTACTTAATAGTTTTCTCCAACTATCTGTATTATATTACGAGAATTTCACATTCTTATATTTTTTCCTGTTTTTTTTTAATAAAAAACTGCCTTTGTGCTTTCCAAAAACACAATATTCTGTCATCTTCTATTAAAGATGTGCTCCTGTACATGCCATTTTCTTAAAATGACCCAAAGATATGTACTTCGGAGCACTTTTGTCATTGGCTATATCTTACGCTTACATAGTATTTCCAATCAATAAATCATACCCATTCTTGTGCACCGAAAATCCGATATTTAAATTTGGGACTCCATCCATTGAGATTCATGTATTAACACAATATTATTCCTCATTTGCAACATCAAAAACAAAAACTTGAAATTAAAAACAATACAATTATTTGGTTTTTCAGAATTTGTAAATATAATTCTGAAATTTTAAATTAATATATATAGATATTCACATATACATACATATATATATATTAGGGTGTCCCAGGGTATAAGAGCGAAATTTTTTTATTCGATTTGAAATACGCATACCCCTTCTTTTTTTTCTTTTTGATCCTAGTAACTGAAATAATAAATATTATTGGTATCGGATAACGATAACCCGTGCCGACTTTTAACAGAAAGTTTGTATAGAAACTATAGAATACATTTTAGACCTTCATGTTTATTCAGTAATTAAAATACTATTTTAACTGTATCTTATATTTTTTAATTATTTATTATTAAAATGATGGTAACTATTTAATTTTCTTTTCAGAGTTTGCTTGTTATAGTCAGGATAAACAAATCTGTGTTCTTGTACGCAGCGAGCAAAAATTTCTTTTGTTCGTCTTCAACAGTGATTTTGCCTTGAAAGTCTTACATTAACTTAACCGCTCTTTCTGCTGTATCATTAACTACTCTCAGTGTCAGCACCTGTTTCTTAGGGTGTTCCAATGAAGCATTACTAGACCATGAAGTAGCACATTCGTTGAGAAAACTGTCATCAATTTTGATTCGATCAAAAACGAAGCCTTGCTTTTGAATGAAACAAAATCATATTATTCAACTGCATACACAATTGATTTCGATCCCTTCGTAAGAACTCTTCATTAAGGCTTTAGTACCTTGAGTATCGTATTTTATAAATATCATTTTTTAAATAGTGTTCATTTGACTAACATTTGAATATTACATGGCCGACTATTAAATTTGTATCGACCATTATATGTAACGTTTAATCAGCAACTTTTTATAGCACTATTATCATTATTAAAATCACTAAATGATTGAGATACTTTTACCAAAATTACACCATTTTAATATACTTAGCCTTTATACCCTTTATTCGCAATTTTGAGTAACTAGTTCGATAAACGACTAACACAGAAGCAGCAAAAAATGGTAATTATAAAATATATTTACTGGAAATATGTCCCATTGCGGCTCTATATCACTGCACCTCTTTTAGATTGTGATTATCCATCTCAATGTATACTATATCTTAGCACCATCCATAGATACGCATACTATATAAATGTGTTAAATATGTGTTCAAAAATTAATTTAAAAATTGATTTATGGACTATAAATACATATACAAATATATAAATAAGATATACAACAGAAAATTAAATTAAAACATAGAGAAAGTACATAAAGTGTTCTAGAAAATAAAAATGTTATTTTAAATAATTATCTCCTATACTATGTATTTATATTATCATTTTATTGTCTAAAAATGAACGTTATGTCTAGTGTCTAATGAATAGTTTCAAACTAAATCAAACGATTTATTATATAAAAATGTTTAATTCTGTAATATGAATACTGAATATGAATACTAAAAAAGGAAATATACAATTCCCTTTTTCAAGTTCCGATAAATACACCCATATCTATTATATATACGAGGGCGTTTATTTTTTCGCCAAATAAACATTTTATTTTTCTACATTAGCATCTTTTAGCTAAATACATTTAGTCCAGCATTTTTCTAATTTTCTTATTCTCTCCAAATAATAGGTTTTCTCAAAGCTCTCAAAATACGCGTTTGTTTCAGTAATGACTTCTTCATTCGACTCAAATCTGTTACCGCCCAGACATTGCTTTAGGTTTGAAAACAAAAAATAGTCGCAGGGGGCTAAATCTGGAGAATATGCTGGATGCGGTAGCAGTTCGTTTTCCAATTCTTGGATTTTGGCCACGAATGTTTAATCAGCACACGAAATTCACTTTTTTTTTTTCGTAAAAATTCACGAGGTGGTCTGCTTTGAACGGCTATCAAACACCAACTGAACGACGTAGCTTGATCAAAAGTTGCCCACTGGTAGATTACAGCTCACGGCAGCATTGTTGCCTTTGGAGAACCAGCGCGGAAATTCATAAACTCACTGACTTATCAAACCACCCTCATATATTTGGTGATCTTATTCGGTTTCTGGTTAATGCTTTTGTTATTCATTATATATAAACTTTGTCTATTACAATTAAGTTTTATTTGGTTTATATTACAATACACATAATAATAAATTAATTTTGTTCAAAGCAGTACAATTTCTTTTAAAAAAATTATGAATGAAAAATATTGATGAGATTCTTACAATTTACAATATAATACATTTACAAAATGCATGCCGATACAAACACTAAGGAAATCTTAACAACAAACATATATTTAGAGTTTTAGTTACAAAATATAAAATATAATACTTCAAGAGTATTAAAAATAAATTAAACTACATATAATACTATGAAACATATATATTTAAAATACAAACTAATTTTTATTTCTTTATGCGCTAAGTGCATACTTTGGGTCCAAACTTGGTCTTCACACGAGACGGGCGTTATAACTTTTAAAAGCTTAATGAAGTTTACAATTAATGTCGAGTTGAATAGTCGCAACAGGATAACAGGATAATGAATTTGGGGTTTTATGTTTGCAGTTGAAGAAAGCGTACATATAGCAACTAACGATTGGAATTAACTCTGATGAGTGATATGGCACTTGTTTGCGACTTTGAGGTGCTTCTTGTCGAATTTATACGTTTGGTGTTTGTCAAAAAAGGATTTGCTTCTTCGGCTGCATTTATTCTGAAATATATGCATTAAATAAAATTATTTTAATATTATTTAATTTTTTGTTTTTTGTTAAACAAACAATAACTTTTTTATTGAATTTTTATAAACATATGTAAACCAGCGTGCATGTATATAAAACTTTAGTAATTATTCTTATTAAGTAGCAAGCCAAAGATATTATTTTGTGTTTTAGTGATTGAAAACCCATGCTTTAAAAAGTATATACAAACAACGAATAGATAATATAATCGTCAAAACGAGCTATAGTTTTAGTTTTTAGATTTCTATACATAATATTAGCTTTTAAGATATTCAAATTTTGTATCATTAAATTTCAGTGGAAAATTTAATGAAATATTAAACCCGAGAAACAAGTATATTAAGCACCAATAAGGTTATGCCAATTAATTAGACCAACACCAATTAAGAGTTACAAACGATTTGGTTGTGTGTTTTTGTGTTTTCTTCAAAATTTTTACCTAAATTAGAATTTTTTCCATCTTTTGCAAAATTTTGTAAAGATATTTCTTCCGGCGCACACTCTGATTGAGTAGAACTCGAATTACTCGCGTAAGTACTTTTTTCATTATGTAGAATTCTTTCCAATTACAATTTATTAATATTTTTATCAAATTAAATAAAATTGTAATTAAATGACTTACCTCTTTTTAATAAGTTTTTTCACTTTTTTCTTAAGTACAAAAAGTACAAATATTATAATTCCCTGCGCCGCATTGCAAAAGTCCGGTACATAAAAAAATATGGACCAAGTGTTGTCAGAGCCTACCAAATACGACATAACTTCCAGCATCCAAGTAATTCCCATCACAATAAATAAACGTAGGAATAAACCAAAACTGAAAAAAATTTATGTTTTAAAAAAACAAGACCATTTTAATAAATATGTAAATGGTACAATAGTAAATATGTAATAACAAAAATTGAGAAAAGATTAAACTCTAATATTTTAATTTGAATAATATTTAAATTTTGAACATGTACAGTTTATGTAGTGAAGAAGACTTGCATTCGAAACCTCATGTTGTAAAATTAATTTATTGTTTTATATTTAAATAGATATATTCTTAACGAAACAAGAATATTTACTTAAGTAATTAAGTTATATATTACAGATAAAAAGTTGCCTAGCATATACCATATTTTCATGTTAAAAAAAAATACAATTTAAACACTTCTCATATTTAAATGTTACTCTCTAATGTAATAAATTTAGATGGCTAACATATAAAATCTTAAATTGATACTCGCAGCAAAGGGTTAAAATTTAAGGCTTCAAGGGAGACCTATTACAAAAACAATAAAGTCCAAGTTCTATTAGATTAGTTTAAAAAAAAAATACTTCAAGTGGTTTGTTTTGGATTAAATTTTTTAAATATTATTTAAAAAACACTATCTCAATCATTTAAAAATATTTCTAAAAAATAATGTAACAAAGAATAGATTAAACTATCAGTATTTTGATTTGCGTAATATTTTAAAATTAAGTTTCTCATTTGAATTAGAATAATCGCGGACTGACTTTTGCTTTACATCTTTTAAGAGATGAATAACTTAGAAAAATAGTATGAATTAATCTGTAGGAAGTATAAACGTAAAAACATTTCTAATATTTAAAATACATTTAAAATCAAGTTAGTTATTATTGACTAGAATATACATTTCACAAATATTGTAGTATATATATCGAGTATATATTGAACAGTAATGGTGACAGAATGCACCCTTGGCGAACCCCGCGCTTTATTTTTACTTCTTGCGTGAAGAAATTATCAATTGAAACATTTGCGTACTGTTTCCAATATAAGTTTGCGATTATTCGGATATCCTTTTCATCTAATCAGCAATGCTTCAGAATTTCTATGAGTTTGCCGTATTCGACTTTGTCGAAAGCTTTTTCAAAATCAATAACATAAAAAGACATCTCTGTTAAAGTCACGACAACGTTCTTGAATCCAATAGTTTGGTATCTGGCCAGTATTATAAATTTTATTAAAAAATCTTGTTAAATATGTACGCCATTATCTTTAAATAACTTCACCAATTCTCTTGGTATTTGGTCAAAACCTACCGTTTTTCTTATTTTTGCACCATCAATTGCTTTTTGAACTTTATCTAAGGTTATATGTGGACCTGAAACAGCTCTTCGATCGGTAGTCACGGTTGATCGGTTGATCGGTTGTTCGTAAATAGATTTTGAATATAGTTTTTTCACATGCGAGGTGTTTCGCCTTTTTCTGTTATGTATTTACTTTCGTTATTCATAAGTGGCCTTCTCTTTCTTCTATTACATGTCGTCATATTTCTAATTTTCTTGAGTAAGTTAAATACATCGTTCTCCTTTGATACCCCTCTATCTCCTCACATTCCTTTTTGTGAAACTCTCCTTTTGCTTTTCTAATAAGAACACGTATATATCTTTATTTTTATACTGACTTCTTTCGTCCATTAATGCCAGGATTTCATCTCTCATTCAATTTCTTTCCTTCTAGATATGACCACGCCCACTTCATTATTTGCTACTTCCATTATTGTGTTTTTATTTGTCATAGATATTTCTTCAAGCGGGTTGTAAACTTAATAACCTCATTTCAATTTCATATTCAACTCGCATCCTCAAATCTGGGCTTTTTAATTTTTTACATTGAGTTTACTCCTCGGTTGAGCTGAGCTTGTCGCTTTGAATTTAATGTTGATTTTAACAGCTAGCAAGTTGAGATCAGATGGAACATCCGCACCGAGGAAGGTTTTTGCGAATTTTATTGAGTTCTTATATCTTTCACTTATTGTTATAAAGTCGATTTGGTTACGGATGACCCTGTTTGATGTATCGGCTGGTGACTTCCAGGTATAAAGTCTACGTTTTGGCAGTTTAAAGAATGTATTGGAAATAATTAACTTATTACTTCTGCAGAATCCAGTAAACGATCACCTCTTTCATTTCTTTCGCCTAGGTCAAATTTGCCAACAATTGCATCGTCCGTACCTTAGCCTATCTTGGCATTAAAGTCACCAATAACCATCAGAACATCTCTTAACATTAATAACATTACTATGCGTTATTAAAATGTAGGGAAAATGTCAGTAAACTTATGCTGTGATTCTAATAGTATAATAAAAATCAGTGAACTCCATTATGACACCAAAAACCATTCGAATTTTGGACAAATCATAATATGTTATCAGTTTTTAAATTACTAGCTAATACAAAAAAAAATTTTAAACTTTTAATTTGATTTAATGTCTTAAACGCAACAGTCAGAAAATCGACCAAAATTACATTCAGTTAAATAAAAACTTTATTTAACTGACTATGTGACCATATGTATGTACTAAAATGTATAGCACCACTTTTACCACTCAACAAAAGTGTAAATAATTTTCATTTGATTTCTTACTGCAGTTTCAAATATTTCTACATTTTTTAAAATCACCCTGACTTAATATAATTAATGTCCACTTTAAATTAATTTCCTTAAGGAACATACTTTTCTTTCTCTGACCGCAAACACCTCTGATCATTTTCACGAGCCACAATACGCTCCAAGTCCCTTTTAACTTGATAAATTTTTGTAGCAGTCAGTATAAACATAATCACATTAAATAAAATTAGTAACATTATCGGCCCATAGAAATATATCATAGCTGACCAATCATCGGCTATAAATACAAAAAAAAAAGATATATGTAACATATATAATAATTTACTTAATTTTACTTACTTTTAAGCCAACAATATTCGTCGCCAATTCCGGGTTTAATATGATTATCGATACTTGATAGTTGACCCTGTATGGTTGCGAAAGTGAGAATCCCAGCAATTCCCCATGCATAGAGAGAATAAATAACAAAACGTTTGTTTTGCATATAACGGTTAACATTGCAACTGGTGCCTCGGAAATTATGCCAGAGATCAAAACTTATCACACTTAACCATAAAAATGCCGCGATAAAAAAGAAATAAGCCATGAATCCTGTTAATTAATATTGTAATTATATTAAAAGTTTATTTATATATAGAATATATTTGTATTAGCTTTTATATTAAGCAATGATAATTGATTTTCTCACCTACAAAACTGCAAGTGAAATCATTATATTGTTTGCTGAAATAGTTATTGGTTACCAGGACACTATAACCAACCGTTAAAGAAAATAAGTAGCAAATAAGGCATTTTCCATGCAAATTCCTCAATTTCGGTATGAAGACATACACAAAGATTGTCAACACCAAAAAGGGTATAGATATTAACATTGCTGTAATTAATAAGAATAAGTATTTTTTTTTTAATATATGAGTACCAATAGTAAAGCCTTAAGAGGTTATTAGTTTCAAATTCATTTATATATACCAAGATTGTTAGCGAAGTGATTATTTGACTGCTCTTCATAGTTTGGACAATT